TGAGCGAGAGTTTTGCAGGATATATTAGTCTTGGTTGGCAGTTTTTTTTTCTTTCAAGGTTTTATATATGTCATTCCACTTCCTTCTTGCCTGCATGGGTTCTGCTGAGTAATCAGAGTTTAGTCTTATTGTTTCCCCTTTGTATGTGACTTTTCTTTTTCCTCGAGCTGCTCTCAGGATTCTTTTGTTTTTGCTTTTAGTGAGTGTGATTATGATATGTCTTGGTGATTTTCTTTTGGGGTCTATCCTATATGGGGTTCATTGATCTTCTTGGATGGTCAGCTTTTTGTCTTTCATGATATTAGGAAAGTCTTCTGTCAGCAAATCAACGATTGTCTATGTTTTCCAGTTTCTCGCCCTATTCTGGAACTCCAGTCACATGCAGATTTTTGCTTTGGATTGTATCCCACATCGTTCTCAGGGTGTCTTCATTTTTCTTCATTCTTTTCTCTGATTTTTTCCTCAAACAAAATGGTATTCAAGGATTTGTCTTCAATTTTGCTGATCCTGTCTTTCGTTGTTTCAAATTTGCTCCTAAAACGTTCTATTGAACTATTTTTGAATTCTTGTTGTTTAGCTTTTGAATTTCAAATTGCTGTTTTTGTATGATTACTAGTTGTTTATTTATTTTGACATTTTGTTCCTGTATTATTTTCCTGAATTCTTCCATTGCCTTGTCTGTTTTCCCTGATTTTCTCTGTATTTCCTATGATTTTATCTATTTTTTCCTTATTTTTTTCTGCATTTTCCTTTATCTCTTGGAGAACCCTGAATATTAGAGTTTTGAATTCCCCATCAGGTAGTTCCATTGCCTTGTCTTCTACCAGAAGGTCATTTGGTGTTTTATTTTGCTTGCTTCCTGGAGCCATTGTGTCCTGCTTTTTAAAAATATATGTTTTGATATTGAGAGACTGTGTTTTATTGTGGGGTGGTTTTGCATTTTTCAATTACCAGAGTATTTCAGACATCTTGCTATGTCAGTGGATGTCCATCTGACACATTTCTCTTTGATGATTACTTTAGCATTCCTGTGATGAGTCACCTCCTCCTGATGGAGATTTAGGTGGTTCCCTACAGCTGCTGCTGCAGACCATGTGCACTAAACATCCTCACACACACACACACACACAGCATTTGATGTGGACCCATGTGTGTCTAGAATTGGAATTTGCTAAGCCCACCCCAACTGCACTGTCAAATCCTAAGATCAGGCCAATGGCTTGGACTTCCCCTCTCGCTTGCTAACTCATGGTCTGTCACGTAGCCCGAGTTTATGGAATAACTGTGAGCTAATCACTTTAAGACAATCTCAGATTCTCAGTGAGAGATACTAGTATTCCTCTATCAAATTAACCTTTTTTTTTTTTCTTAATGTAATAATATCTATTGTTGGCAAGGGTACAGATAAATGAGTAATCTCATGGGCTGCTGGTGGAAACATAAATGGGAACAGTATTGAATGTAACGATTGTTTTCCCCAGTTTTTTGCCATTATAAATACCACTGTACCATTCAGGAAAGCAGATAATAGATAGTGTCAGAAGTCTTAAAAATTATTTCATCCTTCCCTTTAGCCCAGCAATTCTACTTCTAGAAACATAATCAAAGGAAATAGTTAAGGATGGTGTCTTAGTTATCTAGTGCTGCTATAACAGAAATACCACAAGTGGATAGCTTCAACAAGCAGAAATTTATTCTCTCACAGTTTAGGAGGCTAGACATCCAAATTCAGAGTGCCAGCTCCAAGGGAAGGCTTTCTCTTTCTGTCAGCTGTGAGGAAAAGTC